ACGGAACGGCCGTTAAAGAAGTAACGCTCATAGGCTATTCAAACCGTTTGACCTTTGGAATGAAAACGTCTGCATTACAACAGCGAACGAAGGAACACGGACACAAGATAAGTAAACAAGTATAACGTTAATTTAATTCAAATAATCGAAAGGAAAAAAAACCTATGGAAATCCAACCACATTCGGTGTCCTAGTGCCCTTGCTTCACCTATAACGCCTCCGTCACCGCGCTTCCGTTTGTTGTACCTATTCTACCACACATTTCCGTTACCCTTTATCACATATGTAATAATATGTTCTAGTGTTGTGAAGTTAGTTACACTATTACAACATGGCCAATAGCAGTAAATTTTCCTATGTTCTATTCCCATTACCTCCGTCACGCTTTCAACTCCAACATTTTCTTCACATCCATGRCATCATGAAAATCTCCAACTTCGTCACGTCACGCTTGTCCCGTCACTTCACACTTTTTATTTTATCTAATAATGTATATTTACTCCTAGTCCCATTACCACCTACTACCGTGACGGCACAAATGCTGAGCTCTACAACCATCAACGTGACATGGTCACCAAGTAACACAACGTTTTTACGCGGCATTCTACGTGGATATCGCTTGACATTCACACCCAGAGGGCCTGTCTTCCCGAATATCCCTTACAACGTGACTACAAGTGTGAATACCCTGAGTACTGTACTAACAGRCCTGCAAGAGTTCACCGAGTATGACATAACTGTAGCAGGTTTTACCATTGGCGATGGAAACCAAAGTCAATCTGTAATCGCTAAAACCGATTCGGCTCGTAAGAAAATGATTTTTATTCTAACAGAGGGACCCMGATTTTAGTATGTGGGTGAGAGTGTGATAAAGTATGTAAGTGAAAGGCAAGCAGAAAAAAGAAAGAAACAAACGAACAGGAATCGAGGGAAAAGAAGATATTTGAAMTATAGATATGTCTTTCCTCGATCACCATTAATTTCTTGTAATATTTACAACTTATCAAATGTCATTTGGTTTACTCTTTATCAAGCTCCTTCTGCTGGTCCCAATCCTCTTGGCTTGTTGGACGTTACTCCCAACAGCATCACCTTGCAGCTTGGCTCAGTCCCACCTGAAGATAGCAATGGAGTCATCACAGGTTACAAGGTATGTCTTGTCTTTGGAATCTGGTTTGTTCAAGTAATGGAATTGACCTGGGTACAAACTACATCATAGAAGACAAAAGATCTTTGAATATTGTGGACTAACCTTTTGTTGTATATTGTGGACTTACTTTTCAGCCCTGTAACTATATACTGTCGCCTTAAAAGGCAAAATAAACAAATGAATAAAATAAAGATAAACTTCGGTACAAACTTTATACAATGTTCGTCTTTGAGAAAAGTCTCCTATTTAGATAAACACTGATTTTGTTTTTAGTCATTTTTATCCAAATTGGGCTCCTTATGTTCAGTCCACTTGATGTTCTCCGGGCTAGCTCCGGCGCAGCTTGATTTTAAGTCRCGTGCACTACAAAAAATCCACAAGCTTTGACATTATTTTACTCTATAGATAAAATAAAAGTCCGATAAATAAAAGATAATAATGATAGATAAAGTGTACTAGCAAGTGAAAAACGTCTGCGCATTTCAGGAATCGYTTCTAATCAACTTCTAGTATATCAGGTAGGGTTTTATAGGGTTTCGTTTGCACGAATCCTGTGGGATATATAAAGTCTTGATATTATTTTTAATACTGGTACTTCTATTGACAGTTTTCTTGTTGCAGGTTCTGACTACTGCAGTCGGTTCTTCAGACCCACCCAGAGAGAACCTCTACGGTCCAACAGCAACTATCGCTGTGGTAAATGGTCTGATGCCATATACTCAGTACTTGTTTCAAGTGTTTGCTTCTACTGACAAGGGATGGGGTGTRCCGTCCAACACTACATTACGATCGGGAGAAACTGGTAACTAGTTGATATGGAAGGTCACGCGATCATTATCGACCATGTTGAATAAGAAATGTGGAGAACAGGTCACGTGATTAATATCCTCATTGTTGGATGTGAAATGAGGAGAACTAATCGCGTGATCAGTATTCACCGTGTTGGATGAGAAATGGGGAGAACTAGTCACATGATCAGTATTCGCCACCTAAGTGGATTAAAGATGGAAAGATTAGGTCACGTGATCAGTATCAGCCATGCTGAATGAGAAATAGGTAGGGGCTGAGGGCGGTGCGCATTAACAGCTCACAAGATCATTATCCGTCATGTTGGTTGAGAAATGAGGAGAGCAGGTCACGTGATCAACATCTGCCATGAATTGGATGAGAAATATGGAGAGGTTGGGTATTAATTAAGATGGTCATTTCTCCAATGTTTCAGCTCCAGGTGGTCAACCTAGCTACGATGATGAGAATAAACGTTTCTCCACGGATTCCATTCCTTTACAATGGGAACCTTTAACGATAGCTCAAGCCAATGGAGAAGTACTTGGTTATCGTGTATCATACCAGCTAGTATCTCTGGGTGAGGAGCCGGTTGAGGACGCGCCAATCAACGAATTTGACGTCACTGGCACGTCTACTGTGATAAAAAACCTTGAGCTGTACGGCGGTTATAAAATAACGATTGCCGCCTTCACTGCCAAGGGTTTTGGTCCACCAATTATTTTATACGGAGGTAAGAAATGCTGTCCTATGTCGCAATTATTTTCGCTCGACTCAGTAGTGGGAATGGCGTGTTGGTGAAAGCGCTCATCGGTGAAATCACGTGTGCGGTGACCATGCACGTGCGAGCATTTTAATATGAACAGCAATTTTGCATGCTGTGATGTCGTCCGGATTTTGTGCCGTGAAAGTTACCATACCAAAAGCATTTTATAGGAATACGAAACAATATCTAACTCTATGGGAGGTTTTCCAGAATCGTTTATGAGTGTCAAATTCTGACGCTAGCATCCATCAGACAGCCGTTTTTCTTGATCAAAACCTTCATTTAAGGCCGAAAAAGCCGCGGGAAAATTTCTACATATCAACAAATTTTGCGTTTGCTATCAATTTTTTCAGGACAAAACAGCAGATTTCAAATATTAAGATCAAACATTCTTCAATATAGATAATCATTTGAAAAACCTAACTTCACACCAGTACACAACCAGTTTGATATTTTTTTCCAGCTCTAGTTGAAATGGTGCATCTATTCTTCTCTTAGAAACTTGTAGGTGCAGAAAAACACTGTATGCCAACTGGCGCGTCTACAGCCCGTACGTGGAGATCTCTCCAGAGACAGGTGAACTGGAAGGCATCTTTCCTGAGATGGTCAAACGAATGACAGAAGAGTGTTGCCAAAAATGTGTGGCTCATAATGAATCGGTAGTCGATTTTACGACCAGTTTAGACGGTTCGCCTGCCCACAAGCCAAATGAAGATGACTTGAAGACTAATATATCAGAAGATGTTGACTTTAGCTTCCCGCTGTTCGGGACTAAGGATCAGAAGACGTATACTGGGGGATTCGGCTACCGGGCTTTGATAGAAACACCCGGGATAGTGTACGTGGTGAATATAGATACGGAAGACGAGGGCCCACATATGACAATCATCAGATCTTTGTTAGGATGTTTGCCATATATATCGTTGACGGTGCTGTTGGCTTTCTTGGCWGGYTTCGTCTTGTGGATTTTGGTAAGTTTTAGCATCAGATGGCTTGACGTGAATACGGGATATTGGGATACAAAACACGTGCATTGAAACGTAAGGTCAAGCTACTGAACCTGGCTTCGTGCYGTGACGCATTTGTGTGTAAAGTGGACAATTTTGCTCTAACTTTTTCCTTGATTATCAGGACCGCAAAATCAATTCCGAGTTGTTCCCACTGACTTTCATCAAGGGAACCTATGAAGGATTGTGGTGGGCGTTTATCACCATGACTACACTAGGGTATGTAAAGTTATGTAACGCTGTGTAGTAGTTTGGTGAGGGTAAAATTCCAAAGATGCTTCCCATGTTAAGCATAGAATCCGAAATCTGAGTGATAAAACTCGTAATCTGATAGCCTACTATTCCAATTTATCTCTACGTGYCACAACAATGAATCTCTTTACGATGGCGAGAAATAATGCTCTAGAGAATGACACGTGATCTGGTAAAGGTGAAAAGGTATATTTAGGGACTGGTCATTATTGATCGCCTGGGGAATAGGTTGATTTAGCTGGGAATCACATTTTTCAGGCAACTGGAGGGGGATCAGTTTATTGTACATTAACAGAGTATCAAGGGGGGGGGGGGGCATCACTCAAAGATGAAAAAGTAGCAACCTCTAATGAGTGGATCATAAAAAAAAGAAAGTGCCTCATAGGGGGATCAGTGAGTCTTTAGTGTTCTTACAACGAAACTTCTCCGCTCCCCTCCGGAGCACCATAKGTATAGAATATGGTAAACTATGCAACTAATTAAGTTTTCGTGGTTATCGCATGGGAAYCCTGTGCGTAACGCTAAAAGTGTCGCCCGCCAGGTGTACATTGCGTTTCTGATTGGTCGAGCTTTCAAACCACACGTCACTTGGAAAATGACGACTTTTTTTAACGAGCTTTTTTACTATCATTTTTTGTTAATATTGTAAAAACAAAACAAAAAATTATTGAAGAAATCATGGAAAAAAAGAATTCGCCACAGTGTGAAGATAGAGGTTAGGACATTTTCTATTTTGTTTTATTTAGTGTAGATAACATAACTACAACATTACCGGAAAACGAGCAACAAACTAGCATGACGAACGAGAGAAAAAAGTACTTKTTTTGTTCTATGGTAAGAGTATTCGTAGTTCATACATGATATGAAATAATCATTTGAAAAAGCACTTTTTGAATTCCACAATTAAACAAATCCAAGAGATTTTTGACAAAGTTTAAAGCAATAATATTCCTAAAATTACTGGCAAACGAGCAACGAACTAGAATGACAAACGTGCGAAAAAAGTGTACCTGTTTTGTTATTATGGTAAGAGTACTTTCATTTTGAATTTCATTCAATAATTTTATATCTTTCTAGAGATAATTTATGATGGTAATTGAACTGAGTGGAGTGCAATTTGGACCAAAATTGCATGACACAAAGTTTAATTACCACTTAATCATACCCTTTTTGTAATCATACACATGACTACATGGCTACATGAAAAATACAATTTTTTTTTGCTTTTTTGTAATAAAATCTATCAAAAAGTGTGAAAATGTCCCAATTCACAGAGAAAAACACTTTGCAAACGCGTTGAAAAGGCTTGTTTGATTGGCTGAATATAAGAAATCTGGTTCTTTCAAAAAGATGCGATTAAGAGCTCAAAAGGATGCGATTAAGAGCTCCTAAGGATGCGACTTGGGAATTAATCGCACTCCTTTGAACCAATCAGATTGCAGGATTT